TGGATTTTTGCATTGCTGCTGGCCTTTATGTTTGCAGTTTTTAAATGTTTAGGTTTTTATATTATGGTTTGATTAAGTCTTGGTATTTTGTGGTTTTAAGTATTGTTGTGTGAACCACCTAGAGGATTTTGACTATTGGGCTACATAGAAATGTTATAAACAAATATATTATAATAATGCATGCTAATAAATTATGTGTATGTCATGGGAAGAAAAAAATATTTTAAGGAAAATATTCATTTTGCTGTAACATTGCCCTACATAACATTTTTAATGGTTAGGCATTGGGCATGTAATCATCCGTTTGAGTCTGGGGCTAGCACCAGCACCCTGGGAAGGCTAGGAACCTGTCGCCTAGTAAATCCCCAACCCAGCATTATAGATGACTGAGCTTCTGCCAGAAATCCCAAGTACAGGAACTGGTGGGCACAGTCGAAAATGGAGGGCAGACTAGTTTAGTACCTGTGCATGCAACAGTGGCATGAAGTCTGACATTAACCTAAGCTATTTATACTGTTGAGAATTGGCTCTGAAGCCAAACGGTGAAGGCTACTCTGAGTGTGTGTCTCCATCACCACAGATGGGTGTGCAAGGCCTCTTCCATTGCAGCATCAAAGCTTTTTGGTGCCTTCCAGAGGAAAATGAGCAAGGCCCCAACCTTGCCCACAGCAGGGAAAACTGATTTATTTTGATGGATCTCTGATTCCTTTGATGAAGTATTTTCAGTTCTACACTATGATTTTAATTTCCACATTAGGGATTTGTTTGTTTGTTTGTTTGTTTTTGACTGTTTGTTTTATTTTGCTGTCTTCATAATTTTCTTCAATGTTGTGTTAAACATTGTGTTAGAAATTATTATTAGAAAGAAGGGCAGGGTATACATGGCTGGAAACCATTGCATTTGTTTAAACCTTTGTATTCAATCACATCTGTTTCTGTAACAAATTTAATCAAGGTAAATCAAACTTTCTTTAGATGGTGTACTGTGTGCTTGTGGAAGGCTGTGTGTGTAAAACACACGCACACACACACATACACACAGAGAGAGGTGGGATCTGCAAAACAATGTTGTAGTGTGGTGTGTTCTAGCTAGCCTTGATTTTTTTTCTAGGATACTCCATTCTAGGATATTCCATTTTCGACATTCTAGGAGGCTTTTTCTTTGTCCTTGCTTCTATTTCTTTTGCTGGACGCTCAATATTCTGTGGCCACTTCTCTTGCTCAGTTCTTATGGACCTGTAACCCTCTTCAGTCCCTGCTTAAATGTAATTCCATTTTGTCTGTAATTCTGAAGGCCCTGCACAGCAAGTTTGCAACAGAAGAGTAATACATGTAAATCGGCATTCTCCCACACCTGAGAGTGACAAAGAAGCAGACAACAGCAAGGGCTATGGGATGTTTTTATTAGACTTGATTCTAAATGGATGGAGTCACTGTGCTAATGTAGGGTGACAAAAAGATCCAGGCCTCGGGTCCATAGGATGCAAAAATGCATACATTTACATGTCATCTCCAACTTATACTGACCCTTCCAGTGCCCTCCAGGGTCCTGCCCTTTACAACCCTGCTTAGCTCCTGTGAGTGCAAGGCTGTAGCTTCCCGAGAGGACTGATCCATCCCATAGCTGGTCCTCCTCTTCTGCCGCCTTTGACTTTCCCTCACATTTTGTCTTCTCCGGTGACTCTTGCCTTCTCCTGATATACCTGAAGTAAGACAGCGTCTGTTTCATCATTTATGCTTCCAAGGAAGGTTCTGAGTTGACTGGATCTAAGATCTACCTATTTGTCCTTCTCTTGGTCCAGGGTTTCCACAAAAATCTCCTCCAGCACTGTGTTTTGAACACACTTCCTATCAGATTTCTTCATTGTTCGGCTTTCATACCCATACAGGATGATCAGGAATACAATAGTTTGAACAATCCTGACTTTATCCTCTGCTAAAATGTCTTTACCCCCAATTATCTTTTCTAGTTCCTTCATTGCTGCCATCTCAAGCCTAAGTCTTCTAATTTCCGAGGTACAGTCTCTGTTTGAGTCGGTCCAGGGCATCGGCAGTCAGATAACATGCAGACGCACCAGGACCCAACCAGCAAAGCCAGAACCCAGTCACTGGTCCGAATCACAAGTCCAAGTCAGGGTCAAAGCGAGGAGACGAGGTGCAGCCCAGTAAACAAGAGCCAGTCAAAACGAATCGGAGGTCAGGGACCAGAAAAGAGAACAGGATCCCGGAGCAGCCAGATTCTCACACAGCAAAGAGCTTCAGATCACTGGAGGCCAGAGGTGCTGAGGCAGCTTCTGTGGGGCGGGGGGCGGGGGGCGCCAGCCCTTGGCTAGCTCTTCCCCAGGGCTCCCTGGCGGCTCTCAGGTTCTGAGCTGCGGTCGTCTGGGACCAGCCTTGCCGCTACCAAGGGTGTTATGCCAGCAGTTGGTCAGCAGGAGGAGCCCTGGAGCAGCCCGGAGCCTGGCGAAGTACATACAATCTTTCTTTCACAATTTCATTGTTGACTTGGCAATTTACATATGCTCTAAAGTGTGTGCGCGCGCGTGTGCTTAAAGGCAGGGGTGACCTATGTCAATGGGGCACCTTATCCATTACAGCTTTTACTCTGAGCTTTATAGGAGCTATCATGGTATTGATTCTATCCTCAGACTATGCTCACCACCATGGAACAGCATGAGTAGCTTTACAAACCTCAGAATAAAAGTTGCAGTGGATAAGAAGCCCCAGAGACATTGGAGTGACCTGTAAAGAGCCCCGTCTCCTGAGGACACCATTGTTCCTAATAGACAGGTCAGAGGAGGGCATTTGATGTCAGAAAAAGAAAACGGAAGGAACAGCTAGTAAATCCACAGGAATCTGATGTCCCTGCAGCTTCACTACCGCAAGTGCCCATAGAAAGCAAGGTGGGAACACTGTCCACAACCTCCCAGGGATTGGGGCTCCACCACAGTGAACCACCCCCGAACCCCACTTCTTCCCTTCGCGCAGCGGCGGAAAGGGCTCGACATACTGCTTTTTAATGAGAGTAAAAGTGGGCCTTTGCCTGTAATGCTGTGTGGCCTGATCCTGCCCTAAAGGGATCGAATGGGGCTGGGCGAGTACAAACCCTTTTTCCACCCAGAAGGCTGCGCATGTGGCTAATATCTGTGTGATAATGGAAGCAACCACTAGGTGGCGATAAGAAACACCGTCTAGCAGTCACATCAAAGGCAAGGAACCAGGCCAGACACAATTCTCAAAAGCAACTAATTTTCTCTCCCTCCCCCCCCCCACCCCGCCACCCCCATCAGGGACTAGACTACATACTTTGCAGCTCCTCATTTGCAATGTCGACGTTAACAAAACGATCAAGAATAGTTTACATTTAAAGGTAATAAAAGGGAAATGGATTCAGGTGAATGGTAGATGTTAGCTATAAAAGATCAAGCTTTGTTTCTGGCTCAAATGAACCATGGAGCATAGCATGTCAGTTTATCAGAGGGAACAGTGGAGGGAACGGGAAAAGAGCAGGAGAGAGAGGAATGGAAGGGGAAGTAGAGAGGGACGAAGGGCTGAGCGAGGAAGTACAAGGAGGAAAGGGTGAAAAGGAGACTTGCAGCAGGATTTTGAGAAGAGGTATATTTTGACCCCTAGGAGACAGGTGGGCTAACACTGAAGCACTTCTACACCTGCTTTCTCAGCTGTGATGGGCACCTCTTCTCTCTGGGTCAACAGAGGACATCTTGGGGTGTTCTGCCTCCTTCCGAGCAGGAATTTGTGATGGAAAGTAGATCTGGAGGTCACCACATCTCCAGTTCCCAGAAGGGCAAGCAGGTGTCATGGGCAGAAATGGCAGGAGCCCCTGGATCAGAGGCAGGTGTGGGACATTCAGCTGTAACCGGGAGGCAGATGTTTGGGTCTATGCTGGTCCCCCAGACTGCACAGCCTGCCTGGGACTGTGGGTTGGGTTGCATATCACATCCCAGCCAGTTTGACTTTCCTAAGAGGTCAGGGCTAAATAACCCCCAGCTGTCAGTTTCATTGGCAATGGGCTGAAACAGTTCGCCAGGATCTGATCTCAGGGAATCGAGAGAGAGAGCCCAGCTAGGGCTCAGATCAGGGGCCACAAAAGCTTCAGCGATGCCTGAAAAGGAGCCCGGAGGGCCCAGGGCCGGGTGT